AATGCACTGAGATATATTCTGTCCAAAACCAAACCAACAACACACAATAGATATCAAAGAACTGCTTCTACAAAATATTCTGTGAATACAACAATTATTATGTGGAAGAAACCGCAAGGTCACTAAGTGTCAGGATAAACGACCATGAAACATACATCACAAATAAAGACCTTGACAAGTGACAGATATGCAAACATATCCTGTGACAATGGGCACAGAGTACAATGGAAACATTCATAAATAGTCATGAAAGAAACAAACATAGCAAACCCATCAGCAGAATGCAGCAAACTTTGCTAATAACAAACAAGTCAGAAATAAGAATATGCCAATATTTGAGGATTAACTTAATGTCAGAGACATCTACAATAATACATAAAATAAATAAACACACAAAACAATCATAATTTGATATAATCTTAAGCAAACACCACCCACAAAATTTTCAATTAAAAGTATGGCTATTTGCCTTCAAGATCGAGGCCAAGTAAGTCACCGGATTTCCTGAGTGGATCTCGAAACGTCAAATAACAATTATAAAATGTTATTTTCATTAGAATCAATTGTGGCTTAATCGCATATAAATATTTAATTTAGATATGATTCATTTTATTATGTTATGATCCTTCCATTCAAAAGATTTATACCTATCACTTTCGAATTATTTTCTTATCAAAACTTAAAATTCGTTTTTTTCTTTGGATATAAATTTATTCCTCAAACTAAAATTCTCATATATATCAACAAATAGTATCAAAATATGAAGGAATGACTGGATTATGATACAGAACATTGCTGATTATGAACCTCCAAGTTGGTATGTACACGACTGCCGTTCTATCGTTTTATTTGTATTTCATATACACAAATATTTGTTTAAATAATCCCATTGACAATGTATATGTGTATATTTCTATGTACATGAAATTAATATTTAAGGATTACTATTTTAGGACTCGATACAAATTTTAATTTGATTTGAAATACTGATGTGTGCAAGTATGGCCGAATAATGAATAACTGACTAATATTTCTTTTTTATCCTATGTTTCCATGTACTTCAGTATTGTGCCGTGTTTATTAGTTTTTTTACCAGCTGTCCGTAACATCTGATCACTGTCAGTATCGTTTTTTTTTCTCTTTCTGTGGCTTCCTTTGTGATGATTTCTATATTGTCCATTCATATTGCATGCCCAACATTTATTTTTGATTATGGTTGTACTACCTTCCATTTTGCTTATGACTAATTCTTAGCGGTAACTACCAAATAACAGATACGACACCGAATGAATGCCGGGCTTCGTTTCGCCAGTCGGTGTAGTAGTGTAATTCCAACAGACAGATTTAGAACAATTGTTTACTCATGGGATCATGGTCAATCAAGAAGGTTAGACAGTATTCGTTCATTTATTGGGGATAAGTTTTCCTTTTTTCAAGCCGCTTGAAATGTTTAATAAAAATTCAAATTCACACGCATTACTCGTAACTAGCTAAGCCATTTTTTAACTTGTTCGGCAATATTGCATTACATTACATTAACAAGTTAATTAGTTAACCATTATTAAACAGTGAAATTTTTATAACAAGACGAAAGTGGGTATTATTTTATTCTTTTTCTCATTTATGAAACAGTACATTGTACATTTATTTTATTCAGTAGGTGCTTTTATGATTTTTTTAAATGGGTGAGTAGTATTTAAAAAACTATGTTGATATAACTTATTTTATTTTGGTTCGATTTTATATTTCATAAGGTTAATGGTTTGTTACAGATATTTTACACCTTTTTCCAACATATATTCCTAACTAACAAATAAATACAGACGTATTGACAATATATAAATTTCAAATAAATAACTTGAAACCTATTTTTTACAAAACAATGGAAGTAAACAATTTCATTTTGTAATAGCAGGTTAAATGTGTTAAAACGATCGACATACAAAGTATTCCAAATACTTAACATATTTTAATGTATTCTTAAATAAAACAAAACAAAAATAATTTCGATTAAGTATCGGCTATCTTTATTAACGTTTATCATTCTCTTTGCCTTTATCTCTTTGTGGAGTCAATTTCTTTAATTCCATTTCTCTATATATTTCTATCTTGAATCATGTCAATATTAAGTCTATTTTGAAATGAACTCTCAAATTCAATCGCTTTTATCGGTTTTTTAACGTACTAAAATAGTTTTAGTACGTTAATTTGTTTGTTAAAAAAAAACAAATCGATATTTTTGACTTAAGATCTTTTTACTGATCAGTACAGAATCGATGTAAGGGTTATATTAAATTTTAAAACAAAATACAATTCATACAAAACAGATCTACTTAAAAAACATTAGTTAAACATATTACTTTGTTTCTCAGTGTAACTATAACTTTACTATTGTTTTGAACGACTTCCTCATTACTTTTCTTAGTGTACTAAGTAGTGTAACTGTCATTCTGGCTCCGAAATTTCTGTTCTGCGAACATCAAAAGTACCGACAAAGCTTTCGCTTCTTGTTGGGTGGTGTATTCTGTGATCTCACCTTTTCTTTTTTTGGCCTTTTGGCTTCAGGAGCTTGACGTATAATTAAAATTAAACCCCTCTTTCAGTGCGTTATATAACGTCCGTGATTATTACACATAGAATTTAGAAAATTATGTAGAGTTGACGCGTAGTTGCATATTAAAGCGAGTTCTACTTATGGATGTATAATTGGTTGACGTTTAGAATACGCTAAATCGATAACCAATTGAATGATGAGAATACTGATAATTTGACGTAAAAGTACTCGATCGTGAAAGTACTTTCACAATGTCAACGGACAAAATGATATTTGTCATCCAGGTTAGTATTTTCTGAAAATTGTAATTTATATTTATTTAATATAACAATAAAACAGTGAAAACTTTGTTTGCAAAACTTCCACAAAATTTATTACAATATTTTATCACTAGTTTTTTCGGCAGAATGTCTTTCTCAAGTGATCTATTTTTGGATGTCTTTACAATTTAAAGTCTTTAACGAAATAGGTTGAGGTGGGGAGAACTGTTTGTCTCAAGTTGGTCATTGAGAATTATATATGCGTTTTTAAATTTTTTAATCCCATAGATTCTAATAAAGTTAGCTTAAGGCCTTTATTTTTGATGTGAAGAATTTGAAATTCGTCATTAAAAGAATCATTGTGATCTAGAAGGTAAAATGCGTATGTAGAATCTGTTTTCCTATTATTGAAAGCCTTTTTATGTTCTGATTTAAAATGTCATGCAATGATTCGCGACATTTTTAAAATCCTATATGACGTCAGAATTATGACACACTGAAAGAAGGGTTTTTGTTGTTGTTTGTTTGTGTTTTAATGACTGCGGACACTAAATCCATTCGCCAATCTTACAATTTGAGGTGTAGTGTGTGTGTAGAGTAATTGTCTTGATACTTAGCAAAGTCGACGTCATTGTCTTTGCTAAGAGACGCTAATTGTATCCGAACGTCTGCGGTACCTCCGGTGAGTACCGATCGCACAAGGATAGAAATTATTTTCATTCATTAATTTTTGGTTTGAACTTTAGCTTTATCGTGTACCAATTGTCAAAATATGTTTTTAAACTAATAATAATTTACAGTTTATCAGTTTTTAAAGTGAAACTCTCCCTGGAAATATTTGGAGGTAGTTTTTATCCATAGTACAAACTTACGGATCTTACAAAGTAGTAGGTTGAAATTATAGTAGCAAGGAGCGCGGATGTATGACTAGTCAAATTGGCCACGTCCGGTCCTGTTTACTCACCCCAGTATCTCCGCTCGAACTAGGAACGTTATTGGAAGGGTATAATTATCTGTCTAGCCTAAAAACATTTTTAATTCGCAAACGCAATTATTTTATTTGTAGTAAAAGCTAAGTTGTGTCTGTACGAGATCGTTGTAAGTACGTGCGCTGTTGACAGACACTGGCAGTTATCAGGATATATAAGTCATTTTCCTTGTAAGTGCTGGTTTTATAAATAATCTGATAAATAGCACATTTAGAAAAATTAACACTTTAATACTTATGCCTTTTATTCCTACCTTTGTCGGTAGTCATTTAAAGTTTTTAACTACTCTTTACTGAACTGTAGGGAATAAGACACTGCTTAGTTATTCTTCGATAAGACTAAAAAAATTAAACCCTACTAATTTTTTAGAGGACAAGAATAAACAATAAATCTTGAAACATATTCCGTTCCAAGGGTCTGCTGTGATCATCTTTATGTCTCTTAATAAAACATTATCGAATTACTTATTCGGTAGATTTAGTTACAGCGTTGTTAATCGTTATAAAGCTAACTTTGTATATTCTCATTAATCTATATTATTATAAATTAATTTAATTGTTCAAACGACAACCGTGAACATTGGTACCAAGCGTGGTTTATCGATATCTTTTTTGTGGTAGCTCACCTCCAGGTGGCACTGCAGAGTAATTTTACATCCTATATGACATATAGATGCATCCACTATATATACGCAGAGGAGAATAACGGGTTGTCAGTCTCTGTATTTGAGATCGTAAAACACCAGCTAATAAAAGAAATTATTATTTTTTTCCTTTACAATGGTTTGTACGTTATCAATGACAAAACTAATGCCAAAAATACCGACTAACTATATCTCTATTTCAACTGATAATCCGAAACTTACTCGAATATTCACTAGTTAAATACACTCAATAAAAATGACATATACCACAAAGTCGGTAAAATTGATACCTAGTCGCAGTGTGACAGTTTATGTAAATGTGTATTTATAAATAAAAAGTAATTCATATTTATATATTTTATAACAATTTTCCTAACAAATTAGAAAACATCAACTCTGTTAAAAATATTTGAAACATTCTGCATAGTCGAAAGTTAATAAAATCGTTTAATTTCAAAATAATTGATTACGTACGAATTTTTGGAGAAGTAAAAACCCTAAAAGGTTTTTAATCTTAAATTTAAATAGAGTACCTAGTTAAGTAGTACACTGAACTACAGTTCTTTCAGTAAGGCCGATTTGGCATTTTTTAATTTATCTAATCTCTTAAGCAAATGCGAATTTGCAGTTTCAAGTTCTTCAGCTCGACTAAGCGCGTCTCTTGCCTAAAAAAGAAAGAAAATGTTAATGATATAATAAAAACAGTAAAAAATGTTACAGTATTTTCAAATTCAATAGATAACAAAAGAATGTACTGTATTTATCATTTATTATTTACCTATGCCTTTTATATCATGTCGCTAATTTTGAAGATTTACAGAGTTCCTGAAAAGAGCAAGAGTAAAGCCTAAGAAAGAACTAATAAGAGGAACAGTGACGAGATACAGTTTTAAAGGTGACTAACTTTTAAATGACAATAGAAATAATTAGACAACCTAATCCGCGTACAAAAAGTGACAGAGAACGTCATTTTTCATGAATAGCCACATATGTTCCTTACGCCTGATCACTAGTTTATCAATATAGATACGTTTCAAGTCTGCTAGGGTTAACTCTGGAAGTCTAGACGCTTATAGTATTTGGTCATATTTCATGTAATAAAAGATTAAATTGCTAGTGTCAATGTAACAAACGAGCTATCACTGGAGAAGTTATGTTCAGCTATCACATTTTAATGGATCAATGATGACTTGAAAGAAATAATGACATGAATTCATCATAATCAATCAATCAATCAATTAGTTTATAACGTGCTATGCCGTATTCTGATTTCCACTCTCCATTTATCTCGGTCGTTCCAAAGGTTTTCTTTAACTCCCCTCTCACTTAAGTCTTTATCAATTCCTTTTTTCCCACTTAATCTCGGTCTATCTTGCTTTCTTCTTCCATGCGGTGTCCAGTTCAATACTTTCTTTGGTATTCTGTGTTCATCCATTCTTTGGACGTGTCCATACCATCTTAGTTTTTTATTCTGATTTCGTCTATTATATTGTGCTTAACACCCATAATTTCTCGTATTCTTTCGTAATCCCGTAATCTCTTCAACAAGATAAGTCTAAAGACATCATCTTACCGATCAGCCTAGATAAATGGGACGAATACTTCGCAAATCTACTGGTGGAAGAAAGGGCAGAATATTCGGAAACACCTCAAACACAATCAGAGGTGCACGAGTATGCCAAGCATTAAAGAATAGAAAATCACCAGGCCCTGGCAATATCCCACCTGAGCTACTCAAGTACGGTACAAGTAAATTATATACGCAGCTAGCCAGCCTTTACCAAAAATGTATTAACGGAGAGAGTGCGGAGGAGTGGTGGACATCGTTTACCACGATAATACATAAGAGAAGTAAATATGTATGTGACAATTATCCAGGAATCGCAGTCCTTAGCACCATCTCGAGAGTTTACGGGAAACTCATCAAAAAGAGAATGCAAGATGAATTCTGTGATACGGAGTCCGAAGAACAGGCCGGCTTTAAAGCAGGTAAATCAACTATTGACCATCTTTTTACTATTGCCCAGCTAATCAAAAGCACAACAAAAACTCTGGGAAGCCCTCGAGAAAACAAATATTAGTGTAACCTTAATCAAGGCTTTTCAAGACCTCTACAAGAACAACACAAGTAAAATAAAGAAAGGTCAGGAGGTATTCAAGGCTTTCACTATCAGCAAAGGATTCAAACAAGGATGCTGCGTACCCCCTACTTTGTTTAAGATCTTCTCGGAGCAAGCGATGAAGACGTGGAAAACAAAATACAGAAACGTAGGAATTCCTCTAAAGGACGCAATATTCTACACATTGAGTTTTGCAGACGACCAAATAAAGATAGCCCAAGATTATGAAGACCTCGAATATATGACCAATAAACTTATTCAAGAGCACGAACTATGGGGGTTAAAAGTAAATATCAAGAAAACTGAATACATGTGTATTGCGGGAATTCGACAAAATCTAATCTTGAAAGAAATGCACCAAAGAGATGCGCTATCATGCACGCTGTTCAACCTAACGTTAGAAAAAGTTATCGAGATGCTCGGGAATAAACTTAAATGGTACGATATATACCCACAGTATACATAAAGAAATAAGAAAAATAATATGTGTGGCCATCTGCTGTTATTTTGGCCCAGGCCCTCAACTAAGAGCGAGAAGTATGTCAAGAGCAACAAAGTGCAAAAAATATCTGTCTCTGGTCATTTAGTTTAACTCTCATCTATTGTATAACTGTAATTTGATCGATCCATCTCGTTGAGGATCTTCCTCGTAATCCTCGGCCTTCTACCTTTCCTTGGATAATAGGTCTTTCTATGTTAAACACAGAAAACTTCTGAATGCTCTCATAACATAAAAGATTATGTCCAAAGATCGTGTAATATCAAGTAAGTAATTGTATCATTACTTTTGTAAATATGGCTAATTCTTGAGGCAGAGCTATTGAATACACAGCTCGTGTGTGATTGCAAGAACACATTTTGATATTTGAACTGGGTCTCCGTAAAGTAAAGATGTATTCATTTATTTTCCCTACCTATTTAACATTAAAAATAACCTTAACGATCATCCCCTTACCTGGCATGTCGATCCTGCCAAACCATGTAACCGCACAATGGTCGCAAGCGATATTCATGATTAAGAAACATAACATGGTGTGACATTCCTGATACTACGACAATAATCAGAAAAGTGGAAGAGAGATCACTGTGATACGGAGTTTTTTACAATACTTTCAATTTGAAACTTTTTGTATACATTAAAGACACTTTTAACTTTAAATACTGTAACATTTTTTATACCATATAATAATTAACACAAAATACCACATTAACACAATTCAATTAGCTAGACATTGTTTAGGCATAAAGTGGGTACGTAAAACAGTAATTAAAGTAAGTATTTATAACAATAAAAAAAAACAAAATATATACAGAGTAATAAATTACTGCTGTTGAAAAACTTAAAACAGAATAACAATAAATTTCATGAATATGTCAAAAAAATGTAAAAAAAATATATACTATATTAGTAGATTAAACGAAATGTTAGATGGTACTAAAGAAACAAAACTGTACAAGACAAAACTTCTGAAATTAAGATGAAGATCTGTACAGTTTTAGTAATTAAGCATAATATGTAGAAAAAAATTAGTAAATTTTATATATTCATGCCATATATTCAGTCAAGCCACTTATACCTGAATAGAAAACAATTAAAAACATCTTATAAATAAGTGAATACCCATAGAGGCACTGGAAAAGTCGCGTAGAATCAAACTCTGAACATAAGTATTTAAAAAAAATTAATAGGAAAATCCCAGTAGAAACAACAGATGTAGTTTTGCTTAGTAATCACAATATATACATATTCCGTCCTAATACAGGTTTCATGTCTCTTGTGGTGTAAGATAAAAGCGCCGTAACAAGATTAAATTAATTTTATAAAATTCCTATAAACATCCTAATTAAGCACTTACAATTAGACGCAGATCAATAAGATCACATCAGAGTGGCATAGGGTGTTTCCCCATTTTACCTTTATTAAAAATTAACTCACAACAGCGCCATGGACTGCAATTCTGTGTTTATACTGTTGTTAAAATTATATTCATACATATTGTCATTATTAAAATTACAATATGAGTAAAATTAGTTATTTTCTTTACATATCATGCTTAAAATAAGTTATGTTAGTCAAGATGATGAAATTCCAACTACATTACAGTGCAAAGGGCGTTTTCCGTACACTTTTCTTTTAATGGTGACATGTCAACCTCTTATGAGCTTGTCTTAGAGCAGCATTAGAGGCTTCGGTCAGCATCAGTTGTTGATTTGTGTTCTGCACCTGACAACCACAGCACATACTACAGTATACACAGAAGACACAGGAACGATAAAAAAAGCAATGTGTATCAATCTGTTTTATTCTATATTGATAACTGACAAGTTTCAAGAACGACGTGTCTTAATTATTGTAACGATAATTTATTTATTAAATATAAATACATACTTTATAATATATTTAATCAAAAATTGTTTATTGCTTTTATAAGGCAAAATTGAATCCATAAATATTGATCTAAACCTCTCCCTATTATAATTTGGATGTTTGGATTGTAGTAGTATTTATTTATAAATCACTATAATTTTTTGCTTAAAAGGGATAGTTTCAAGTGGTTGGCTATATACCATAAGAAAACGTTCACAATAAAGTAAAAAAAAGTTTCACAGTAATTGGAATATTTGTTAAAAAAAGAATTAAAAATGAAAAATCCAAATGGATTACTACAATCCTTTAACGCGTTTCTGTTCTATCAGATTACCATCAGTGCAAACTTGAGTACTCGAGTACTTAAATTGATATTTTATAGATTAAAAAATTTAAAAATAATGCGAAACAATGTCGATGATAATGGATTTAACTAAATTGAAACATATCGCCCTTACTCGAAACATACCCACTTGTGTGTCTGACAGTAGTCAACAGAAAACTTCAGTTGGTTTAAAAGTTTGTTTGCATTATAAGTTATGTCTAAAAACACAGCTCAGCCGTTGCCTTCGGAAGGAGAGGGATAAGAGGTCGAGTATACATCGACATGTATAGACATGCGGAATATAGCAATACAGTTCATTTGATGTATAAGTATCCCTAATGATTTTCTAGTCTAGTAATATTTGTTCAACAATCTTAATATTATCTAGAGGACTACAAAACTAAGACTACACTGCACCGCAATCCAAACTCCAGCACTTTGTGGCAGTGAATAGAAAAAAGAAAAATGGTAGCGATATCTGCATTTTTATTTTGTGTTAACTGCTAAAACCTAAATTTTAAGAGGTGGTGAACTAAGTTTTTGATAAAATGATACATGAAGCTTTCCATTTAAAACAATATCCAATTACTCTTTGTGGAATTTTTACAACCTTTTTGAATAAAAGTTGAATAGTTGGTTGTAGAAACCAGTAAATTATTCTCCTAAAACAATATATAATTATCTGAATCTGAAATCTAGACAGTAAACCAATTTAAATTATTCGTTAATATTTTGAGTCAAACACTTTAACATTCAGACATTTGGTTTATAAAGTTGGTCAGTGATATATTTGATTCAACTTCAACTTGAAATTCAACTGAAACAATAAATTTGGAAAGAAGAAAAAATAAGGCTTATAACATCTGAAATAAGAACCTTGAGGTCAATAGCTGGGAAAACATTAAAAGACAGAAAACCATGTAACGAAATAAGAGATATCTGTAACATTCACACTATTGTATGAAGGGTAATATAGAAAAGATCGGAGTGGAAAAACATATTAAAATAGTGAGATATTAGCCAAAATAGGTTGTTAACTTTGGGGGAAGTTGTCACTGGGTATTTTCCCACAAAGTCAAGCTTAAAATAAACCACTTGCCTATAGTAGGAAGTATGGAATAAATTATGATATAGTCTTGCTTGTATGGTAAAATATCTATATGTAAATGTTTATAAAATCAACATTTTTCAATTCTTTTATATTACAGTGGATATACATTGCCTTTTCGAAGAAAACAAAAAATAACTATTAAACAAAATTAATCAATATTAATATAGTACATAAATATATTAATGAAAAATTATAAAACAAATTATTTAAAAAACATAGTATACTCTTAGTCATTCTTAGTGAAGAAGATCAAGAAAAATGGCAAAATTCAACTCGGTATTTAAAGTTATCCAGTAGGTCAAATATATAATACGCGACAAGGAAAAAAGAATACCTAGTAATACTGAATTTATTATAACAAATTTGTAGGAATATGTTTGTTTAAGTTAATACAAAAAACGATGTTTTTCAACCATATGGAAAAAGTGGTTATTGTGATATCAAGTGGTTATTGTATTTTGTAGCTACAATTGGCATTTAATCAATCATCGTACAATACGTTATGAAAAGTTGCTTTAATCTGTTCGTTATGCCTAGAAGTGCTAGAAGTAGCTAGCGTGTCAGAAGAACGGCTACACACCGAGATCAGACTCGAGATAACTCAATGAGGAAAGCGACCATCTCATTAGAGGCATACCCAGATGTATTTTGTGTGCAGAGGAGATCGTGGAGGTCAACATATTATTAATTTGTTGAATTTTTTGGATTCTTTTGAAATTTTGATCAATTACTTACCCAACCCTAAGTTAAATATATAAAAAATTACTGTTTTAATAAATGCAGTATTACTGGGTGTTAATTTTTTTAAGTTACTTAGTATATGTAGCATATATGTACATAAATAGAACAACAAAGGATTATTTAAAAATGACACTGTTCATGAAAGGACTAAATTTTTGGTTTGTATTCGAATGCAAACTACCACATTCCTAGTAAGTATCACAACTGTTTTGTTGCGAAATAAAGAAATGTAGAAAAAAGTAGTATCAACTAAGTTATATTCGGTTTATTATGATAAATAATACGAAAGTCTTGGCGGAAGGTCATAACAAGATATATTAAATCAAATTTATTTTAGAATCCCATTTTTTATTTTTTAACGGTATTTGAAACTATATCTTACTGTTTTTAAATAATCATCTAAATTTGTTTTTGTTTAATAGTTTTCTATTGGTAACAAATATACCCTTCTATAAAGCATGTTAGTATTTACCAAAAACATCTTAAATGCTTTCAGAAACATCAGTTGATAAATCAGTTAAAGAATTTGAATCCTGCAAATAAAAAGTAATAAAATATAAAATAAATAAAACAAGCATCTATGGTAATATATCTAGTAGGTACTACGTGTGTGCAGTTATGCAATTCTAGTGACTACGTGTGCATTTTGAGCAATCATTCTTGAAAATCAGTTGGAAAACTTATTTTATTTTTATAATTAACTAACGCATATTTAAGAGATCTAATGGGCTATTAACAAAACTAAACTAAGGCAATAACCGAATCCCTGCTATTACAATTATGTACCTTGAGATGTGGTTAAAATGCATTGCTTTATAAAGACAATTTTATCAAAGGTTTAAAAAACCGTCTTTTTCGTCTGATATAGTGCAATATAATTTTTTATATATTTTTAATGTGAAATAAATAGCAGTTCTCGACATAAAAGATCTAACACAACATATATGATATGGTTTTGTGAAACTTTTTGTTTGAATTGCTAACAGGAATAAACGAAGTAAAATTGGTCAACCGGCGGTAGTGTGTAGTAAGTGCTCACCACCGGCAGTTTGCGGCGACCAGAGCCGGGTGTTCAACTTCGTTAGCGCGATATTATATCCGACGGGAACGATAGTTTAAATATCGGATTTTCCGTCTCTCGGGAAAACGTGATAGCGTACAGTGCTCTCAGCAGACTGTTCCTGACTTCCACTGCAAAGGCGTATTCTTTAGCTAGGGCCTAAATACGCTAAGGTAACTAAACATAAAAACTAAGCAAGTGGAATACAAAATAATCGTAGATTGCCCACCCTTTATATTTCTTGATAAGTCTCTTCTCGTCTCCCTTCGCAACTTCGATAAAATAATAATTATTTATATCGTTTATTTGTTGTTTTAGATGTAGATTTACAATTAAATTAATATATAGTAAGTTTGAAATTTGTTTTTTTTTTCTTCTTTCCGGTCATTTACAGGTAGAGACTAGAAGAGAACATACTTTCACTTAGTGCATTTCTCCGGCTTCTAAAGCAATCCCATAGACTCTAACTCTTTACAGGGCCTGAAATCTGGACGTCCTTCATCCCCTTATTCCAGATAATTCCCTAACCTCTTGTAAATCCGCGAGGGAGAAACCACGTCCATTCAGACTAGTTGAGCAAGTAAGCCTTGCCTTTACTATTACAGTGAGTCGAATTTTTCTAACTTCAGTTTTCTACAGAAATAGCAAGAAAATGTGGTGTATCCCAATCATCGTTCGAAAGTTGAGTCCAAAACCTTCCTGTTACGTCGCTTCGGAAGGGTTGTGTGGCAGAAATCTTTGTCGCCCCAAGAGGACAACGAATTTTAAAGAAATTATGAAAGGGTTGCTGGTGTGAGCACATATTCATGAATGCTAAGGGAAATAAGGCTTCTACTCACAATCCGTAATAGGTTTTACTAAAGTTGAAAAAAGAATGATCTGCCGGTTTCTATGTTTACAAACTTTTACATACGTCTTTTACATCGTCAGGCCCTAAAACTACGGATTGTGAGTAGGAGAGTTATTTCCCTAACATTCATGACTTTTAAAGAATTTTGCTATAAAACCCAGAAGAGCCACCCATATAAATAATGGAATAGATTGGAAGAAGCAGGGTGTTCAGCATCGGTGGCCACTGTACGCCGAAATTTGTACAACACGGGGTTCAAATGTAGCAGGTCTGTTAAGAACCCAATATAACACCACAAATGCTCAAGAAACGCTTGGGCCAATTTGCATAAAAACTGGACTGTAAATTAATACAAATAATTTTGTTTTCATACTTCCTTCATATAGGCAGATTTTTCTTTAGTGATGACGCAAAATTTCTAATTATGGATGAAAATTCCCAATTTGTCAAATATACTCAAATATGCAGTGATGCGAGAGAAAAACAATTAAATATCCCACCACAGTAATGGCGGTCTGTAATGATTGGCAAAGGAATGGAACGTTTATATGTAATAGAAGGAACCATGCGACAGAACGGGTGGAGTCTTGCAGACAAGATTCCACAGATGATTCCACAAATAAACGAATGGTTTGGTAATGGTCGCAAGATCTTTATATAGAATGGAGCACCTTGTCATTCGGCTAAAATAATTATGTTATGTTAAGTTTTTTGATAGGGCAAACAAATTTCTCCGAAATTTGTCCGATAATTCACCAGACATGAACCCTAACGAAAATGTCACAAAGTTAAGTTGATAATTATTTTTCATTTGAACCATAATGACCATTTAAAAGAAATTGCAGTAAGATGCATGGTGTCTACGAGATACCTTGCTCCAGTTGCCCACGAATATACATACGCTAGGAATAACCTTTTACTCCGACGTGCATATACACTTCACCCTTGAAAAACACTATATTTTTCATTCTTTTGCACATCACGTGTGTCAACGGATACACTAGGCAATAGATTTACTAAGACTCGTTCCCGGTCATCTTATGGATAAAAACAGCGATATTCCCTGGCCACCTCATAGTTCGAACCTCTCCCTATACGACAACTTTATTTGGGAGTATCTAAAGTCGAAACTGCTTCAAAGTAACCCCAAGAACTATGAGGCTTTGGAAGAAAATTACGCAGAGAAGTGGAAGCAATACCTCAAGAAATGTTAGTCAATGTCGTAAACAGCTTTGTACCACACGGCTGCCAGAATGTGTCCGATAAATTGGAGGCCAACTTTCCAATATCATCTCCAAAAACTGAATATTTTTTCACTTACACATTCATTTCCATATGTGTAGATAACAAAGATCACAAGTTTCAACTCATCATTCCATTTTAATAATCACTTAATAGATATACTTAAAAACTCTGCAGTTTGTCATCAGTGAGCGATAGTCAAGATTGTATAAACGTACAGAGAGTAGTAGCGAATTCACTGTATATTTTATATCATGGCATACATATAAATACAAAGTTCATATCAGCACTGTATGGATTTTTTATTATTTTGTACAGCACGCTGTGTGGTATTCAATAGCTTATATTGAACTAACAAAAGGTTTTTTGGTTCTGTACCCACCCATGATAATTGTAAATTAATATAATGTACAACTAATTATCTAAATAAAAAATAGTTTAGATCAATAAATAATGTAAACTACAAAGGCTTAAATTTTCTAAACTATACCATTTATAATATTATCATGTTTGTACAATCTTTCTAGAACAAGCCTTTGCGTCATCTGATATAGATAAAAGCCATGAATTATATTGGCAAATAAGTTTCTTTTCATACAAATTTATTTGTTACATATATTTCAAGAATAAAAGCTCACAGTATGGTAGTAAGTGAAAGTATAAAGGATAAAAGATCAAAGTGCATTATTAAAAAGCACTACTCAAACTGATCTAGTCTACTTAAAAATCAAATAAAACCGATATTAGTAACTTACTTCCCGCTGCAATTTCCTCTTCTCTGCCTTAAGAACTTCTTCAGACTGTTCCGAGGTTTCAGCGGCAGTTTTGTACCTAATAACTTGGCTTTCTAATCGTGCCACTGTCGCTTGAAGTGTTGCAACATCTTGTTCTGCTTTCTGAGCTCTAAACTTCCAATCCGACAATTGATTTCTCGCTTCTCCTACATCAGGAATTAAAATATATTATTTAATTTAACCAAATTCAAATCCTATTGTTTTGTGTAGAAATCAGTAAAAACCATCTTGGACGTATAAGAATTAGCTAGAATACCACCGCACATAGGACAACTATCAGAAGGTAATAGACAATGCGATCTTTATCGCAGACAGTAATTCCGCCTAGTATGTTCAACACAGAATCCAAATTAACAACTATACAGCAAAAAGTAAAAAATCGGAAGATTTCTACTACATGTTCGAAACCAAAATTCAGATTCGCAGTAGTAGAAATCTTCGGATTTTTTACTTTTTGTCCTATTTTTAGATGTCGCTGTCGATGACCATATATGAAATCAAATCTTAAATGTCTTTTCTATAACAACTATAACTTTGAGCAGGTCAAAAAATTAACATCCACCTTGTTTGGATATCAGTTTTGATTTAATAAGTTAGAATTTAAAAACTCTGGGTATAAACAAATTTGACAGTGCTACTGCGAAATATTTAAGTATGTTGAATTTTAATATATTGACCAGAAGAGAGAATGGAATAAAGATTCCATTCAGCCAGACTGAAACAGAATAAGAGGCAGACAAACAGGAGTAATCCGAGTCGCACGAAGAAGAAGAAGAAGAAGGGAAAATATAAGGATATACATCCAATGCAGATAAGGTGGAATGGATGAAATGGAAGGAGACGAGAATGGTATGTTGTGACAAAAAGATTTCAATGAAACTAAAAGGAAGATTAAAAATAAACATAGGAGAAAGCATACGTTAAGATGGTTAGAGCAATAGATTGGCAGCGTGTAGATGCTAATGACCTAATAAGAAGAAGTGCTGAGTTGCAAGTTTCTGGAAGGAGAAGCAAATAAAGACCTCGCGGGAGACTATGCATATTGTTCGTAAGATTTCAGTTCAAAGTTCAGTATAGTCTTTGAAAACCAACTTTTGAATTTTTGTGTGTCTATTTCCTCATGGTAGTTGGTTCTTTTTGTTGGATTTAAAAAGGAAAAAGTAAAGTTTCTTTTAAATGGTAAAGTTTCCTTTCCTCGCGGATTTTTTATCTATAAGTACAGTCTCTGTAACAAGATAACTTCTTGTCAGTCATGCGAAAAGAAATAAGTTCATATTTCTTTTCGCATTTTTAATATTCATTTCTCTGAATATTCGCAATAAAACATATCGTGATTTTTTATATCGAAGTACGAGTAAGTTGTTACTTAACCTCATGAAATTTTTCATATGGTATTGAAATGCCTCAAAATAATGCTCAAACGTCATCATCATTTCTACATTTAATGCCAAAAATTATGAAATTATAATTTAGATGAATCAAGGTAAATTCTGAAAAACTGTTGGAAGGTTGACACCATTTTAATGCTTTTATTTGGTAAATGTTATTTATGCATATAAATATTTCTAACCTTGTCTATGTGGAAAACATTTATAGAATTTCTCAAACATATCTTCTGATACATGTTATATAATTGTTTTTAACGTACGATATATTTTGTCCATTCATAGTCATTTGTATATGATTGACTTTTTTATTTTGTTTAATTTTTATTAGACACTAGTTTATGTGCTTAAGATATTAAGTACTTGTATTCTCCAATTCAATTTGATCGAGAAGTGTAACGTTAAGCAATACTAAATAACACTATTACTTACTTTGAATGTCGTCATAATCATAGTCAGAAGAGGGCCCATTCAAGATGCCACCCGAACTTATTTTCCTCCTCTTATTTTTTTCTTCTTCTAATTCTAGTTTTAAATGGCTAATTTGATCTTGAAGTTCGTTTTTCTCTTTAAGGAACCGAGATAACCGTACATCTAAAAATAAAAACAAATAGTTTAAGAACACAATAAATGAAAATAGTATATATTAGTTGAACTGTCAAATTATTTAGCCACATTTAATATACTTCGATGAAGTATTCAGGCATCCATGATTTTTCTCTTCATACCAATCCATTACACCTAGTTACCATAGTTATCATGTAAAATGGTCAGAAGATTGTCTGTAATATTTATTTCTTTTTGGTTTTAAAATCTTAAAAACTTTTTTGGTCACAAGTATTAACCAACGAGTAGTAACAAAAAGTCATGTTACTAGTGGTTATGATGTTCAAATAGGTGTGTGATATGAAACATTACAGAGCGAGAAAGTTTGGTCAGAGTGCAGAGTTCAGCCTAAAATTCGGAAATATTCACCAGAGATTGTGAAAATGCTGAAAGATATAGATTTGGATTCAGAAGATATATTTTAATGATACATACATCTGTCATATTCACAACCCCTTAACTTTAAATAAAAAATATATAATGTATGAAACATCCTTAGAGAGACACTTCAATGAAGTATTAAAGTATTCACGATTTTTCTCATTATATATTTTCATTTCTTGACTCGAGAAAAAAAGGTCGCAAATTAGGGTTGCCAGCAGTTGTTAAAAACGCGAGGGATCAAAGATAAAGTAAAATAAAGTTAGCGCACAACCACACTGGTTTGACAAGTGATAATATGTATATTATTTATCTATCGAAGCAAATAGACTTTAAAAACTCACATAACTGACACTTCAAACCAGAAGCGTTGCGCGCTAGCTATCTTTTACTTTATCTGTGATACCTCGCGTTTTTAACAGCTGGCAACCCTAATTTGCGACCATTTTTTCTCAGACAACCTTATATATAATCATATTAAAAAATATACTACTTTGATTTGATATAAAAACAAGCATATACGTTATGAGCAAAATTTGTATTTAAAGATTAATTGAATTAAAAATATTTGCGCCCACTTTTTGACTGTCAACCTATTGTCAATATATTCTCCTAATTTTAAATGTATGTAAAAAATGTAAATTTTATATATTTCATTAAAATGACATATGTCACTTTTACGTTTAATAAATATGTTTTAGAATAACAATATTTCTTATCTTATCAGAATTTGAAAGTTATACGTAAAAATTAAAAAACGTATGGGGTCCCTATAGGACCTGATTTGGATGTTTAGGTTGATTTAACTAGCGTGGGATTTTAAGGTTAAAATATAGAAAAAATTATTACCTAAACTTCCATCTCCTGCAGTTTCTAACAAATGAGCATTTTCCACACTAACTAAAGCCTTCTTCGGTGGATGTTGTACTTCTTCATCTTCATCATCAGGCGATGCATCATCACCCACTATCACTAGCCCCTTTTCTGCGATTAGTCGATCTCGTTCTTCGAGTTCGTACCTCGTCACTGCTAAATCTTCTTTTAATTTAGCACAAATACTTTTTAAAGTTTGGTGTTCTCGACATTTCTCTCGGTGCTCCCTTTTAAGTTGAGAATGTTCCTCTTCTAATTCTTCCAGTCTGTAAAAAAATACATTTATAACAATTTTAAAATTTTTAATAGTGTCTACTTTAATTAAAAAATATCTACAACAAAAATAATAGTTGCGCTTAGTCTCAAAATTACACAATATTCAGAGGTTATTGTATTTATAAAAAGAAGCCATAGTCTATGTACGAGGTTTGTCTTTTTAGTTTTGCATATAGCCGCTTAGAGGGCGCCAACAATTAAACCTTCCGACATAAATGTAACCTCAATCTTTTGTTGAATAAATCAAGAGTTTCATTGCGATACAACAAGTCGAGTAGATACAGTGAATTTTTGAAATTCGCAAATCGGTCGAAAAATGAATCTTAACCCACAACATTTTCGAGCAACAATTTGTTACAATTTTCGGAGATAGCAAGATCCCAATAGCAATGTCTCGCTGAAATGATTTCTGTGTTTGGGAATGAAGCATCAAGTCAGGTTCTTCCAAAACAGCAGTCACACAGCAAAATATTGACGCGTTTCGTAAGCTAATAAAGGATGACCACCACGTAACATAACGAGAGATAGCTTTGGGCATTTCAAAGACCTGAATCCAAAAGATCCTACATGAAGAACTGCGTGTTACGAAGTTTATTTCCCATTGGATTCCTCATTTGTACACAGAAGAACAAAAACCGGTTCTTGTCAATTGGAGTCGAAAAATATTGAAACGGTTCAACAAAGGAAGCTCAAAAAATGTTTATAGTAGTGTTGGTAGCGATGAATCTTGGATTGACTCCTACGAACCGGAAAATCAATGCCAGTCCGCTGTATGGGTGTTTCACGATGGGAAACACCAACAAAAGTGATCCGCCCTCGAAGTGTGTCAAAGAAAATGGTCGAAACTTTTTTTGTCAAAAGCTGGTCATTTGGCAACAATTGCTTAGAAGATTAAAGAACGGTTACTTCTGATTGGTATATACCCGTTTGTTTATCAGCAGTTATCGCGAAACTCCGACAAAACAACACACAACGGCGAATCATCCTACATCGGGACAATGCAAGTGCTGAAGTCCAAAACAAGAGTTTTTGGAGCTTCAAAACATCGAATTGTTAAACCATCCACCTTATAGCTCCGACCTAAGTCCCAACGACTTCTTCACGTTCCCAAAGATCAAGCCAGTCGCCAGAAGAAGCCATTGATGCCTCTTAAGCAGCAATTTTGCAGGTGCCAACTGAAGACTGGAATAACTGTTTTACCAATGGGTTTGAATGTATGCAAAAGTGTATCGATCTTGGTGGGATATATTTTGAAATACAATAAGATACTTTTATTGCTTTTGTATATTTTTATATACATTATTTTGTATATTTTGTATATTTTGTATATTTTTATATTTTTGTTTTTAGGGCTATATGCAAAATTATAAAAAAACAAGTTTCTTATGTTGTTTTCCTACAATATTTATAAGATAAAAAGGATAAAGAAAAATGAGTGGGATTTCTTCCTTTCGGCCTTGGATTTCATCTTTATCAATACAAACATGGTAAATTGCATCACACACAATCTTAGTTCATGAAATAAATAAAATCAAAACATCAGTCAAAAAAGTAAGAATAAAAGACCAAAAAACTCATCTTTGAAACATAACTACCTACCTCTAAATAAAGAGATACTCCATAGAATCGCAAATTTACAACTCGGCAGAAGCCTAGTCACTGTGCTGAATGACGTGAACTTATGGTTTGAAAAAGAAATATTTTTAGAAAAATTATGTAAAAATGGCATGCAAGACAGCAATTAATTACCAATATTACTTCTATATAGATGTAAAAGTAAACAGCTAGTTGCGAAACAGTGTGCCAATGAGAAATACATGTACAAATTATGTTCAGAATTAAGTTTTCAGAGGATTTTCAGAGATACACAGAGCACTGATTAAAAAATTACACAAGGCGACAAGCCTGAGACCTAGAAAATAGAATATACTTTTCCTGAGGTTGTAGGTGCGCTGAATACGAATCTGAGACCCAAATTGCCGAATTATCAGTGGTTTCCGAGTTATCCTAATCTAAATGTGCAAAAGTAGCGATTTTTGGCAGTTTTTGAGGTCATGTAGACCCGTTAATTTTTTCTAACCTAAAATATTACGCATACCACCTTATAGTATAAGTCTTTCTCTTTCAAATGTGGTTGAGTTTGCTCAAATATCTTTTTTTCGCTCAGATATTGCATTTTTAATTAGTTTTCATTTTTGTTAAGATTTTTATACCTGAAAATCCATTGAAATAACAGACGTGATACAATTTATGAGTTTTTTACAAGGAAATAAGAAAATTATATAAAAAAACAATTAAGTGCCACACTACAGTCGAGTTAAACAAGGTAAACACCAACATTAAGCCTCTTAATACCTAAATACCACCCATACCAAGTCACAAGCGGGCTAACGCACATAACTCTGAAAACAGCAAAGTAACTCGCTTATTTTCGTAAAACAATTTATTTCTTTTCAACACACGAGCCGACCGACATTTCCACCTACACCCTAAACCACCTTACCCTTAGAAACCACTCCGAAAATATGACCCCCACGAAACCATAACCAGGCTAACCCATTTAACCCTAAGTTCCCACACCTCAAGCCACTAACCTCAAGCCTGCAATTTTAGCCTATAATGTGTTTGCACATCACATGTTTGTACAAGTTTTCAAACCCCAACCTTCCACAGCCCAAGTTCACAAACTTCAAGCAAGCAATTTTAATGATATGGACTCCATCCAATCTTTCATATCACAAGCCCTCGAAATCCTAACTTCCATACTTCAAGATAAAAGAGCTTTTAATTTCAAACCTTTAAATTATAAGCTTAGTGTTATCTTCGTTGTTTAAGGGCTTAAGGTTCGTGAGAATGATGTGTGTTGGCTTTCACTATCTTCTTCTTAGAGTGCCGTCTCCCTACGGAGGTTCGCAATCATAATGGTTATTTTTATTTTAGAACTTGCTGCTCTTATCAAATCAATCGATCTGCATTGACACCAATCACGTAGATTCTTTCACCATGAGTTCTGCCTTCGGCCAACGATCTTCTTCCTTGAATCTTTCCCTGTATTATGAGTCTCAAAATTTCATATTTTGGTCCCCTCATCACGTGGCCTAGGTATTCCAGTTTTCTGGTTTGTATAGTGGTGATTAGTTCTGTTTCTTTACCAACCCTCTCCAGTACTTCTTTATTTGTAATTCTATCAATCCATGATATTTTTAATACTCTGCGGTATAACCAGAGTTCGAAAGCCTCGATATTTTTTTTAATGTCCAAGTCTCAGCTCCATATAATAATATTGAAAATATATAATAGCGAATGGCACGTAGTCTGATCTGCAAATTTAGATTTTTGCACGTTAGGAGTGGCTTCATTCGTATAAATGCTGCTCTGGCAATCTCTATTCGCCTGTTTATTTCTACAGTATGATCATTGGTTTCATTGATCAAAGTTCCCAAGTAGTGATATTTTTCTACTTGTTCTATCACGTTACCGTTGATTGTCAATAAATGATGTATATTTTGTGGTCTTTTTGTAATTAGCATCTACTTCGTTTTTTTATCGTTTATAGTAATTCCCATCTCAGCACTATTCATAAGATGCATAAAGCTTTCGATAAGATGTTGTAGATCCTCTATACTCGTTGCTATGATCACAGTGTCGTCTGCATATCTTAAGTTGTTAATTAATTTTCCGTTAACGGTGACTCCCACTTCGATATTATTGAGCGTGTTATGGAAAATTTCTTCAGAATACAAGTTAAACAAAAGTGGCGATAAAACACATCCCTTTCAATATGTAAACATTGAAACCCCCACATTTATGGATTTGAGTTGCGGTAGCTTGCGATAGTAAGCTTAGCGATTTTCGGCTAGGGGTGTGTGGGCTTGCAATATGCAATCACGGGCTTGAGGTGAGGGAGCTTTGTGTTTAAGGGCTTGGGGTGTGGAAGCTTGTGGTCTTTTGTATGAGTTTGGGGTTTATAGGCGTAAAATTGCAGACTTTATGGGCTTGCAATGTTAGAGTTTGGGGTTTGTGAATTTGCAATGTACAAGCTTGAAGTTTATAGACTTATTTGCAGGTTCTAGGTTTATGAGTTTGGTGTTTAAGGGTTCGTGATTTTTTACTATAGTTTTAACCTTAACATATTGTTTTTATTCTCGAAATTGACCTTGAATGTACAAAATCGATTTGATTTGAACAAAAATATCGAACTGGATTTAAGCAAATTAAAATCTGACCCAAAATTTTTAATAAAGATTTTATCTTAATATTGTTCTGAAGCAATTTTCTTGTTGCATTTTACAGTAAATACTATTTCAATGGGAATAAGCCACAATTAAAGATTAAAGTATGTTTATTGACGTTTCAATTTGCACTTCGGAAATCGTTTATTTATTTATTTATTTAGTTATTTTTAAAAAAGATTTTATCTAATGTAAAAAAGTTTTATAGTACAATCTCAAATCAAACAACCTTACATCTTATAACATTAAACCAAATCAACCTTTATAAAACGACCATTTCCAACCAATTTTTCCATTGTTGGTTAGGTTATCTTAGAAACCAGGGCCAACTTAGAGCTCAGATTTGGATTCAGCGCATCAAAAACCTGTATATTCAGGTTTATATTCAGGTATAATAAAAGTATATTCTGATCTCTGGGTCGGAATATTAGCCAAATGTTATCGGCCTGTGTTATCTAAGTTAAGAATAATTTACCGTTAATAAAAGACAATATCATAAATCTTGTGCAATATTTATGATAGACACGCTGCTACGCAATATGACAATGAGATACTTAATTCATCCATAAATCAAGTTGATGATCAGAAATTACAAAATGTGTATTACTAATTATGATTTAACACACCGATTAGATGACATAAGCTTAGTCCTATTTCTTTTAGATTTTTTATTTAGCTCTATCAACATTTTCTGTAATTTCTTCTTGTAAATAGCATTTCATTTCAATTTGAGCTACCACAAGTCTTGAGCTACTGATGAGCTACTGATCAAGCTACCTGATGAGAGGTGGAACCTCGAAACAAGTGTAGAAAAATGGTGGAGTTCGAACTAAAAAGATATATGCAAATCGTCTACTTTCATTTTAACGTCTTTTCACTACATAAAGAGTGCAAGAGATGGTGTTTTGCAAGTGTAAACTATAGATGTATTGTCGGAATTAAAGGTTATATCCAAATCGTTCAATAGTTTCCCGAAAGCTGGGATACGTAGTTCACTTAATTTACCATCGAAGAGAAGTCTCCCGACTTCTTGTTGCCTCATATAAGTAATATGTATTATAGTACATTTAGTATGGATGGAAGTACCATATGACTAGTGTTGCCCAAATGCAAGAACAAGACGAGGCGTAGACAGACTTGGTCTTGCGCCAATACACTTGGTCTTGGTATTGCACTCCCGGTCTTGGTCTTGCAGAAAGAGCCTTGCAGTAACCCATTAGTCTATTGTTATTTATTAAACGTTCTTTATGCCGGGTCCTGACCAAACAGACAAAACAAAAACATTCATGTTTCGCGACAAAGTGGCGACAAATCGAAAACATTTGTTGAGACATTTCTGAAGAATTTTGTTTTGTTTCCAAATTTGAAAACTTTTTCAGGTCCCGTCTCAGGTCGGTAAAGATCAAAAAGTCTGTGTTTTGTCTGTGTATTTGACGACAAGTTGTCGGCGCAGTGTGGACGCGTGTGCGTGCCAAAACGAGTTAAGCAGTAGGAGAAATAGAATGTACAATTTTTATCAAAATTAAGTGTATTTTTCTGTTACTTAGTCTCAACACATATGTTTACTCAACTCCATCCAACTCCAACCCACAACATTTGTACTCAAATCCACCCAGCACTGACACACAACATTCATACTCAAATCCTCCCAGCATTGACACACGTTCATACTCAACTCCTCCCAGCATTGACACACATTTATACTCAAATCCACCCAGCATTGAACATTTATACTCAAATCCACCCAACATGCAACATTCATACTCAAATCCACCCAGTGCTGACCCACAAAATTATTACTTAAATCCACCAAACACCAACACACAACCTTTATTTTCACATCCACCTAGTATTGACACAGAGCTTTCTCAGTATTCAGATCAAGAAAACGAACGAAATTGATGATGAACTTTTTGAATGTAAAAACAAGTAGACTCGTCATTATTTTGCATGTAGTATGCACCTATCGTCAACTTCTTTTGTATTAAACATTTAACCAATAAATATGGATATTGACAGAAAAATAGTAATGAAAAAAGTTTAACATACCTGTAGGTACATAACCACTAAGACTGTTAATTAAAGCTTTACATACTTTAGGTATTATTACAGATATTGATTGCTTTGATACTTTTGAAAGATACATTAGGCTGTGGTAGGAATCACCTGTTGCTAAAAATCTTGCTAAAAGTGATTGCTAACCTTTCTGTTACACTCATAGTATTTCTAAAGTTAGTATGTCTTTTTGCAACTGCAGGACCAACAAGGCATATTAGATTCTCAAAATCTTCGGTGGACATTCTTAAAAAAATTTTGAAGCTTGATCGAATTTCACCAATTAGTCCAATATCATCTGATCGCAGCTAAACTAACAATTTGTCTATCGAACAACTTTCTCGCATTTTTAGGCTTGGTCTATTCCAAAAACGTTTGCGTTTTCTTTTAGCAACCTGGGATGATGATGAGAGCAAAAAAAACTTGCGGCTAGCAATAAATCTTCAGTTTCATTTTTTTCTTGATTAAAACGCCACATGGTTAACCAACACTAATCACAACAACAACGTCACCAACCGAATTTGTTTTTATATTTTGTTGTTCTCGTGTGGACAGTTTGTCTCAATTTTGTTTTGTCTTTTGACGACAAATTTTGTCGCCGGTTTATCGTGTTTTTGTTTCAGAATTGTGTTTTCGTTTTCGTGTTTTTTCGTGTTTTGTCTGCTTGGTCTGGACCCGGCATTAGATCTTAGAACAACGTAACAGAGCAAGTACATTTTGAGCTTGAATTAACATAGCTTTAATAAAGCCCAACCAAATTAATAAATATCTAAACAACTGACACCGGGTAGAGTTTGAAGCCACAATCTAAGCGATCCGTGCCTATGCTCTATCTAACTCAGCTATCTACCATACCCCACGGAAGTCAATCTGTTTCTTAATAAACGTTTGCATTTAATAAGCTTACAGGTGCACAACAAATTAATGACATAAACTTGACTGTATTTTAAAGAACATTATCTGCCTAGAAAGCGATTGATGGACCCCCCATCATATATGAAATAGAAATCTTAAAAAAGATTGGTATGTGGCAAAAATTCACATACATGTCTCAGGGGCACAGATTCTTTAGATGGTAAACTGTAATCCACTTATTAAAGCAACATAAATGTTGTTACCAGTCTTAGCTCTACTTTTATGTAAAAAAACTAACTTGAAAAAATAAAGAATAGGTAAAAAAGCAATGATAAACAAAAGAAGTTATTTTAAATAAAGAATATGCCTTCTTAATAAATACATTAATTTACCAAAATGAAGTATATACACATATTAACATATTTTATTTTGACATTGTAATTATGACCTCTGAGCACGTGTCAAATGTGTTTTTTTAATGAATATTTTGATTCGGTATGTATGTTTATGGTATTGTTTGTAATGCGCATAAGTCCAATTTTTCAAATTTTTATTACATATATTTTTGCGTCTCATAGTCTTTAAGCATATACCCGAACTACAATACTCGCTAATACGACATTCAGTCCTAACTGCAAGACGCAAGAGTCTCGCAGGCTTTGGGCAATACTACATATGACATTCCTAATAAGGAATAATTTGGTTACAAACTTTTCGTGATGTTTAAATTTGTCCTATATAGGTCCCCATTCCGAACGTCCCTTAAAAAGATACGAAGAACAAAGGAAAAACAAGTAAGCTTAACGTTATATTCTACAAACCGACAAACCGTATTATTAATGTTTTTCTTTAAATGTACTCACCTATCTTTCAACAGTTCTAGTTGATACGTCTGCGCAGTTTTGTCGTTATCCAACTGAGCATTGGCTATCATCGCTTTTCGAAATTTATCCTCGACTTCTTTCAATTCGTGCTGAAAATTCAACTGAGTTAGAATGACATTGTTCTGCATAGTGATGTTTGTAAAGGTTGCAAACGTAATAGAAATTGTTTCGGTGAAAAACGAAAGACTATTGCACTAGTGACACAATATGGGGTGGTATTTGGATCAATATCAACAATGCAGTTGAGCTATTTAAAACAACGCCGATTTTAGGTCATCCAGGCAGCAAATTAAAAATGATGCGAGAGAAAGTGCGTAGATATTAATAAATATATGGGAACCATTGACCGTTTTATTTAAAAATACAATTGAACTAGACAATAGGTCTTTTAATCCTTATAGTAGTAACTTTATTATGCAAACATTAGTATTATGTCTTATGAGTTTATATACAACGAATGTTAGAACACAAACAATAATAGATTTTAATATGGTGACAGGTATATAAGTAATTTCGGCGTAGAAACGTCATATTAGATACCAGCAATGTAAAGTTTTAAGTTTATGTTACATATACTTCGAACGTCGTACCATAAGAATACAACTTACAATTTTTTACATTCGCTCTCACAATTAATCCAGTACAAAAGATAGAATCATGAGCTAATGTTATTATTTTCGACATGGTTTGAAACACTAAAAACAAGATGGAAACTAGGGACAGATACAAGAAAAGAAACAATGGAGAACTGTGACTTTCTAAAATGTATTGCTAAACTCTATTAATATTACATGTTCCCAACATAAACAAGTTATCGGGATCTGACAAGCACTTTTTCCGGCGGCATTCGTTTCTCATTCACCTGGAGACTATTAAATAGGATTTATCGTCTTGAGGGAAATTGATGTCATTTTTCAGACACTGTTCAGTCTAATTATATTCAAATTGTAGTGTGTAACGCCGGCGCCACACATGGGGGTCCAACGTTGGCCCCAACAGCGTTCGTCCAATGTGTGTACCGACAAAACTGTGTTGGATCCAATTTTGGCGCCAACGTTTTTATGACTGTCGATTTTTGCGTACTCATCAAAGGGGTTGGCGCCAATACTGGTGTTGTCGATCACACATTGGCGCTACAGCAGTGTTCCATCGGCGTATAATTATACTATTTGCACATAATTTAATTGTTGGCAAGTAATTTTCGCATCCTGCATAAAATTAGGTGCCTAATTTTGCACAATCTAGCAAAGCAGAAGAAAATAAACCAATGACAAACCACAGTTTATAAAAAGTGTCCTCAACTTCTTTTTTCTTTTAAAACACTTATGCTGCCATTTTACACAGTATTCTTTTAATTAAATAAATTACTTTATCGAAGAAAATTTCCATTCCATGACGGCAATAAAAAATAAATTTACAACATGTAAAAATCGATCTTCGGCCACCTGGACCTGTTTTTCTTTCAGTGCCTTTCAGAAAGGAAATGTACTTATCTAAACATTTTACAAAAGTATATGCTTTTAATTTTCAAACATAGATCATTTTGTCCTAATAGGCCACCCTCATGTGGTCATATAACTTTTAAAATATGTACTTCCATATTATCGGCTGTGAATTAAGTCAGATTTGATGCAGAATATAGCCGAAAAAGAAGGCTAAGAAATTTTGGAATTGAGTTAATATAAGAATAAATGGATATTCAGAGCCTCGACGTCAGGTTTACACTCATATATTCAGTCTGCAGTTGCCAAATACAGCGTCTCTAATAGCTTTAAGTAACGCTGTAGACAAAATGACGAAAAATTCGCCTTTTTTGCAGCAAAATATAATCATATGCACTCATTATCACGTCAGTCGTAGCCGCTGCAATTTCCATGTCGGACATGTTGACGTTGGTTCTAGAGGGAACAGACTGATATCGCCCCAATACTCAATCGAATGTGTGGAGTGGATGCCTCACCGAACGTGGGAACACAGTTGACCGAACGTGGGAACACATTTGACCCAACGTTGGCTCCAACGTTGGATCCCATGTGTGGATCCGGCCTTATAGTTATTGTGGAGTTATTTACTGGTGGTGTTATCTTTTATAAGTTTTATAGTGTGTAGTAAACTTTTAGTATCCAAAAACAAAGTATTTATTCATCAAAAGTAAAAATAGCTTGTTTTAATAAGTTAATCACAATATTTTAATTTATTGATTTCTAAAATATTTTAATTTCTAAAAACTTATGATGCTACTTTTTTCAAAATACTTTGTTTAGTTGTTAATGAATATTTTATTTTAGCACATAATTGTTGACAGTTGGGAATACGTATTATAAATGAACTTGTAACATTTTTTTTATATAATTAAAATATTATTTATTTTTATTCCTTTTACCCCCGTGATGATACGCTGATGGTCGGGGACGTTATTGGACCTACCAAAAATCACGGAATTTCCCTAAATACGAAAGGTTTTTAATCCTTTTCGTCTTAATCCTGTGTATGAAAAGAACGAATGCTTTTCGCTAAAGGCGGGTTCCTTTATGATAGATTTGTAAATATTCCGAAGGCACGTATAGTAATTTTTCTGTAAAAACCCAATCTACAAGGTTTATATTTTATCACGTCCAATTACTAGTACCGTAAATAACTCAAACTTTCCGATGTCGTTAGAATCTTACCTTCTCGGAAATACATACAACTGGCCTATGATTTATACGTGGGAGATATCCCTTCTTCCTTTTTTTGTAGTTGGGTAAATTTTTGCAAGAAAGACAGACTTCTGAGTGGGCTCTCGTTGAGTAAAGGCTGACATCTCGTGAGACGCTTCGCTCACATTATCGTATTTGTTATCTTACCGTCTGTGAATTGTTTTCTAAGTGTGCATACACTTATTTATTTGAGTTTTTTAGATCTTATACTATATTAAATTAAACATAGTTATAAAGTACCTTTAATGTTAATTAAATTCAGTGTTTAATATAAGTATAGTATTAGCTTCAGTGAATTAGTGCAGCAATCATCAGGAATTACTGTAAGTTACCATAATCTTAGTATCTCCACTAATCTGGGCGAGTAATATGGTATGATATCATATCATCTGCCATTATCTGGACGAATCTAAAGTCGTCCAATTCTTCACCTGTAGTTGAGAGTAACTAGTGATTTTAGCATTCAATTTAAAGAACATTCTATATTTTTTTACGAACTTTCCATCAGTTACTAAGAAATTTCAATAAATAATAATTATGAACATTTAAGTCTCAGTTTATCATTAAATAATAGTGCGAAGCCGATAATCGACTTAACAAAGTGCGGTTTGGTTAAATTTTTATTTTTTCATTTCTGTAACCTGTTGGTATTCTTGTAAATTTAGATTTGATTAATTTTTGTTATCTTTTGTTTTTGTTACAATTTTTATTCATTTTTTTTTGCTGTAATATCTCGAGATACGCCAAAACTTTATTTGTGCATGATTGTATTATATATCTTTGTAAAGGTATTTTCTAATTATATTACTGCTTATTTTTATATGTATACCACCATTTCATAGTTGTTGGTGTATTTTTATTACTTGTGTTGCATTCGGCAGCGTCATAATTGTGTTGTTGAATATATTGGTTTTGTTTTATGTACGCGCATTTTATTTGTCAACTCCTAACAAGTTTCCTGATAAAATAATATCTCTGAATATTTGCTTTTTACCGTCAATTATCACTATACCTTTTACCAGGAGAAAGATCGGGCAATTAAGGTTCGTAGGTAAGTAGATGTAATACCTCATATATTTATTATTTGTTTATATAGTGTGTTGACCAAATTTATTTAATAATTAACTATTAATATCTTTTCTTGGGTTTGATCTCTGGACCTAAATATCTTTCCTTATCTCTTTTCTTTTTTAAGGTTTCTTAATTTTCACCTTAAACCCCAAAAAATTGAGTGGCGCCCTGTTTCTATCTTATCGTATCTTCGGTAATTTTACCCATCTATATTTTTGTTTATTTCTGTATCTTTTCTAATATATCTTATCTTGTCTTATCTTTACTTATTTCATACGTTGGACCCATTCCCGGTTCCAAAAGCTAGTTTCGAACCCACGACTCGTTCTCCACCAACCATCTGGCTGCCGTCCACAGTGTCTCCATTGGTGACCTTTCTAGCACCGTCCAAAAAAGGTTTCCGAAGTTACAAACTGTAGTAGAAATACAGATGACATTTTATGAAATTTGGAAAATATGGAGAGTATACTTGTAGTACATGTTATCCATCAATTCCTTCTTTTAATCAGATCTGACGATATACCAGCTACTTAGAATATTCTGTTGCAAAATTCACTTTTGAAATCGCGGGGAATTTTTCTTTTTCTGAAAATTATAAGAACGGCAGTAGAGATAAGAAGAATATTCACCAAATGGCAATCTTATACAACTAAGAACATTATAAATAAGAAAATATACCATTTCTGATTGTAATTTACAAATTATTGTTGTTTTATTATTATTATTATTATTATTATTCGTTACTACTCCTATTATTATGTTAAATTAAAGAGTTTTCTTTCTTCTCGTTTTTAGTTCTTTTTATTAGTATGTTGTTCGATTCTCTAGTGTATCAACGCCTTCTAGGAGAGATTAACGGGGTAAGTGAAATCGATATGTAAGTTTCCATATCTTATTATACTACTTATCCATCGGCCGACTCGACCCAGGGCGTAATCTAATGTATCTTAATGTTAAGTCGTAGCTTCATATTGGATTTTAAGCTAAGATATTTATTTTACTTTCTACTTTTCTGTTCTCCGGTGAGATTTGAACCGTGAACTAAATGTTATGAAATGTTATGAACGATACAAGTTTGTTTATTAATTATTAATTTCTTTAGATTTCATATATTTAACTTTCTGTTTTCTTTTAATATTTGTCTACGAAAAATAGTTGGCGCTAAAATTTTTGTTACAACTAAATATCCTAGTTAATTATTAATTTTCTATTTAGGTTTTCTATTAATTTAATCTGTCATTTTTATCGGGCCGGACAAATTCCTGACAGCCTGTCCTCCCAACTTCTGCCACACATTGAAAAGTAGGGTTGACTTTTCC